TCTCTCTGTCTCTCTCTCAAGGCGGAGTACTCAGAGCTGGTGGAGTCACTGCTTTCCAGCCAGCAGGATGCCGTCATATACCAGAGGCTTGCGGACGCCTTCAACAAGCTCACGGCCAGCAGCACACCCCCCACTATGGACCGCAAGCAAAAGGTGGCCTTCCTCAAGAGCCTGGAGGAGTTCGTGGCCAACGTCGGGGGGCTGCTGTGCGTCAAATAGCCGCTGCCCTCCCCCCCCGCCCCCCCCCCCGGAGCTTCACCTCGCCAAACCTCAGTGAAATTTGCACTGTTGGGCAAGAGACTGTTGGCGCTCGCTGAATTCCGTCGGCTGCAGGCGGTGTGCGTCCGCGGCCCCGTCTGAAGCAGTGTACCGTGCAGCGTGGTCGAAAAATAGGGTGAACAAGCATTCAACTTTTCTTTTTAAAATCCAGTCACCTGTTTGCTTTGCCGGTGAACGGTTGTAATGGTTGCGACGTGGGACAGGACAGGCGAGGATTCCCCGTAGAGTGCCTTTATTTTTTTATTTATTTTTTTCGGAACCAGCCATCTTGATGGCCCGGGTGAAGATTGTCTTAAGGCGGTGAACCCTGCGCGTTCGGGCCGGCGCCGAGGCGTGTCAGGCAGGCAGAGCGGCGTGCCGGCATCAGCCCCCTCAAGTCTCCTTCCTCCTTCCGGTCACAGAGAGCCTTCGAACCCGTGAAGCTGGCGGACAAGAAACCAAATCACTTTCTTTTTTTTTTTTGTTGTTGTTGTTGTTGGTGTTGTTGTTGTTGTTCTTCACTAAGGTTGTAAAAATATTTTCAGGAAGAAGAAGTGTAAAAAGATAAAAAATCTATAAGATAATCAACAACTTTTTTTTTTTTACTGTCGTTCTGCCTGGCGGAAGAGGTGTGGTTTTTATGTTCAGCCTTCCCACAAAACCCAGGAAGCGCAGCGGCTGAGGCCTTGCCTGCTACAGATGCAGCCCCCTCCTGCTGCTGCTTCCACCAGGACGCTCCTCTGCAGCGGAAGAGGCTTCGTGGGAAATGGACACTGACGTTGCTCTGCAGTTCAAGGACACAAGATGCAAACGGAAAACCCCTTTACTGCTGGGATTGAAGCCATACAGGGGCCACTGAAGCATATACTCTAGTTTATTTTTCTATCAGCCCCCCCCACCCCCCCCCCCCAAGTCCGAGCAGAACTGAAGTCCACATTGCTTTAGCAATAACAAACCAAAGGGGTCAGCTGCTTCAGAGCCTGCGTCCGTTTTAATTAGGGCATTAGAGATTTCCCTGTTTTTAAAATACCCGATTAATTTTTAGAGAACTTGTGTTAATTTCGGAATGCTTAAAAAATGTAAAAGTGTATATAAACTTATTATATAAATTTTCTGAGTGTGGTTTTTCTGTTAGGTCTGCCTTTGTGTTTTCAGTTGTATATACGTCTCGGACAGGGACAGTGGGATACAGGACTTGCACAGACTTCTTCTGTTTTCTTCTCGGCCGTTGAGGAAGGTGGTGGCGTTCAATATTGTAATAGAGAGCATCATTATAGGAACCGTAATTTCCCTGGACAGGATTAACGTAACCATATTTGGAATCATCTTTATTATTTCAAACAAAGGAGTGGAAAGTTCCCTTGCACTTCAAGAGAGTGCTTTAAATCCGTAGATGAAGATTCGTTCTGCGCTCCACGGCCGGGTTTTTTTCTGATTTTGAGTTCAAAACATAACATCGAATAAAATGTACATGGGCTTATTTAGAAATTGAATTTATTTCTCTGTTGAGCGCAATCTATACTTTAAACAAATGCATACTGCAACAGGGTCGGGGAGCCACGTTTGTCTGAATGGGGTCACCTATGGAGAAGATGTAGGCTTACCATTCTATGGATTTAGTCGTTGAAATGTTAGGTATTGAACAGGTCAAAAGGTTTGAATGTAGAGTCGTAAATGAATAAAGAAACTCTATAGTCCTAGTAACCGTTCTCTTTATATCTCTCACTTTTGAAATGAGATGAGATCTAAAGCATTACTCCTATTCGTGCCTAATCACCCCATGATATTCTGGATTAAATCACATTTTAGCCCTCTGCATCTGCACTCTGTGTGACAGACCTGAAATATATGTTGGAAAGTAGAGACTAACCTCTCCCAGTTCTGGACTGTGAGTAAGCAACACCCACAGCGAGAGAAAAGATGGGTTTCATCAGCTCATAATCCTCCCATCCAGTCCTTACACCTCTCACCTGTTCACAATCTTTTGATGCCAGAGTGCAAATAGGATCAGTGAGAATATACAGTGGCCATGGCTCCATAAGTTCAGAACATCTTGGAGGTCATGCTGGTAGATTCTCAAATATACGATGCATTTATAAATTAAAGGGGGTAGAGTTGGTGTCTGATACATTAAACATTTGTATACTCAAGCCAGCCTTTCAACCTCATCCGTAAATGTGGTCATCGTGATTAAGTGCTCAATACATTTTAGCCATTGGCCATCAAGTTTTTGTTTTGAATGGAATTCATTGGCATGTACTCAATATTCATTTGTAATTAATATTTGTGTGACTTCTAAGTGATTTTATAAGTAGAAACTAAATGCTACATTGATGCTTCTCATTTCACCCAATTTTCCACCTGTATTGTCAGCCTTCCCTTGTGCAG